GCTAAACTTCCTGTAGACTTCCCTACAGACAGGTGCTGACTGTAGAGCTAACTGTTCAGAGTTTGACTCTGAAATCAGCTGGTCAGGTTTAATCTACAATAAAGACAGGCTGAATATAGCCAGCATGAAAAAGTATTCAACCAGAACTCAATTAAGGTGTTAAATACATTTTATTAAAAATACTAAAAACCTAAATCAGTCCACATTTCCTGCAGTATAACATCATGAACAATTAAAATTACTTGCAAGTCTCTCAAACGTAGGCTCCTCCACTGGCTGAGGAACGTGGGGCCGAGTATTTCACCGAGTATCTGCTGTCCTTTTGCTGCTCACACTGGCAGCAGAGCAGCGCTCCCCCGACGAGCAGGAGTCCTGCCGATCCCCAGCCGATGAACAGCGCGGCTCCGAGCTCTCTTCTCTGTGCGTCGATCATAACAGGGTTGTAGAAGTTCCTGATGACCTCATGTGCAGACCACGACACAGGAATCAGGCATAAGACGCCACCAACGATGAAGAACACACCTGCAACGATAGCTACCCTGCTTTTAGCAACTTCATCGTCAATGCAGTTGGTGCACTTCCCTCCAGCGACAGACAGCAGCACTCCCATTAAAACGATGAGGATGGAGATGATGACCAGAGCCCGGGCGGCCTGCAGGTCTCGGGGCAGAGCCAACATGGAGTCGTAGACCTTGCACTGCATCTGGCCAGTGCTCTGCTTCACACAGTTCATCCACAGGCCTTCCCAGAAGATTTGTGCTGTGACAATGTTGTTGCCAATGAAAGCGGATACCTTCCACATGGGCAGGGCACAGATGATGATGTCTCCCAAAAAGCCAATGGATGCCAAGAAGATGCCAAGGATCTGGAGGCCTGCAGACGCCATCGTTGTCTCAGGATATGGACAGAGCAGCAGTGAAATATATGGCCTGCTGTCACAGCTGCAGCTTTTATACATGCTGTCTCTGCTCTGCCTCTCCTGATTGGCTGTTCACAATTATCCAAACTGAAAACACCTGTGGTCATTAGGAGCTGGGCACTCAGTACACCACACAGGAGGTGTGGATAAACCAACAAAACACAGCTGTGATATGAAGCTCGAGTCAATATATCTGTGTCACCTGTCACTATTCTTCTTCTTTTTTTTCCTCAAACAGAAGAATATTATTTATTGTGACTTTTACTGGATGATTCCAAAAAAAAAAGTGAACACTAATGAGTCAGCATTTGTTTGGCCAGTGATGTAATCAAGTGACTTCACATGTGTCACTTACTGGTACCCTCTTACACCTGACATTTCCTCTTAGGTTAATATCTAAATAAATTCCACATTTATTAAGATTTGAAGGAAACAAATGTAGAAGTGAACTTAACTAATCAGTGATTAGTCTTAGTGACTTATCCTGACCGCCTTATATGCTCTGAAAACAGGGGAGTGACTTCCTGTTTGCTCTGAATGTAACTTTGTACCGGACTTCATAAACAGGAATGACTTTTTCTATGGTTTGGATCTAACCTATTGTATTAAAATAAATCAACATCTTGTGATGTCGTAACGTGCTGAGGTTAAATATTTATTGTCCCGTGTTATCTAGGTATGTACGTAGTAGAAAACATCGTAGCCTTTAGTGATCTTTGAAACACAGGTTATCTGGGTTTTCAACACTTCTGCTAATGTTTGCTGACACTGTTGCCTCCTCTAACAAAACCAGTCCAAGATGTACATTAACTGAACCACAAGACTACTGACTAATGTCTGCCCATTAAGGCTTCAACAATAGGTTTTTTTTTTTTTAATGTTTAGGAGTCAGACGGCAACACTGAGTCTGGACCTGTTTGTTTCTCCCCACTGTTGCTAAAATGATTGCTTAATGTGTGACTTATCTTCTTCACTTTGTACTGTTACCATAGTATGAACATTACACCTGCATTTTCCCACTGTTAAATGGGTATTTAGGGGGATATTTTAAGTTTAATTCCTATTTATATCTCAAACTGTAAAGTCCATTGAGACAAATATGTTTTGTGATGTATAAATAAAATGACCTGACTTGACATTTTGGTCAAATGTTGTCCAACATCTGGTGATGTTAAATCATGAAATAGCTAAACCTTAGCCTAAGTATTAGCCTAGAAAGATATTTCCATTTTTGTTCATTCATTTTTAAGTGCAATTTCATCTGTGGAATTCTAAATTTTGATGTGTGACTTCTGCCTTTAAGCATACTGTATAACACAGAATAAAGATGCGACATGTCTTTTCTTACTGTTGACTCATATACTGTTTACCATATTGTGACATAACACATCCTCATTCATCTCCTTCTGCTTCCTCTTCTTCTTCTTATCTTCATCCCACATGCTTCTCTTTCTCTGCAGACTCCAGGCTACTTTCCTTTTGACTATCATCAGTAATTTACCATGTATCTTAGAAGTTCAGTGAATGCACATTTGCAATAACTGCCTTGTCGCAAAATGACTCTACGACATTCTCCATCATCAACTATAAAGGATTCTC